ATGCTGGAAAGGGCGAGGGGAGGCATCGCTCCTCCTCCTCTTCCTCCTCCTCCTCTTCCTCCTCTTCCTCCTCGTGCCCTGGTGAGGAGCAGGGGAACCCAAAGCAGGGGCCCTGCCGGGGCTGCACCTCGGAGGGGAGGGGAGGGCAGGGGGGTATCTCTTCCAGAACAAAGCGGGCTGAAGGGATGGCAGCTGCTCAATCTTAACTTCTGAGCCTGACGGGGTGACTGCCAGTCATCTCTCTCTGCTTTCATCTCTAGCGATTTGAATTGCAAAAAATGTGTTTTCTTAACTTCTTCCCCGCTTTTCTATCCAGCGTGTTTCTCAGGTTTTATGCAAAAAAAGCTATTTTTAAATGCTGGGTTTTGGGTAGTTCAGCTGAAATCCGCTTTCCAGCTAAATGAACTTTCACCCCCACTTCAGAAAAACCCCATGATTTAGCACAGAACTGTGCTCCTCACAATTCTCTGAAAAAAAAAAAAAAAGAAAGAAATGTGGAAGTTGTGCCTTCTAGAAACTGGTAACCTAAACTGTTGCTTAAATAGCTGAATAAGAAGTAACATCCTCTGATTAGTTGCTTGGTTATTTAAAAAAAAACCAAAACCACAAACAAAAAAACAACAACCCCAAAAAACCCATAAAATGTTTAACGTAAAGATTTTATCTGGTTGCAGATGTTTCTTACTGTTCTAATACCACTCAACAAGAGCTAAGAACCATTTCTCTGGGAAACAAAACTGCAGATGTAAACCAATATTAAACCATATGAATTAAATCACTCTGTTCTCTTGGAGTATGTCATTGGTTTGGGTTACTCATGTTGAAACCCTGTATCCATAAGACAGGCAATATTAGGGCTTCACTGCCCCTAATACGTGGATCCTTCAGCAGGGTCTGGTTTCCACCCATCCATCCTGAGCACAGACCAGGATTCCCTTGCATGTCATGAATTTACTCATCTTCTTATATGCAGGTACGAAAACAGGTGTTACATTTTCAAATTTATACATGAGCACACACATGAAAATGTCCATCATTTATGCAGGGTCAGCATCTCCAATTCAAAAGTGGGATTCCTGACTGCTGTGGATTCGTTCCTTTGAAGCACAGGGAGCTGCAGTGACCTTCAGCAGCTGGAGATCTGGCCCTAAGCAGCCTGAGTGTTTCTCATGCACTTTCCATGGTGTCCCAGGGAAGGAAAGAACATGCTATATATGTTTGTGCTATCATTGTCTACCAGAAATTTCCACAAGGAACTTTTCAGTGGATGCCCTTTTTTTCTTGCTGGGCTCAGTGTTGCTGTAAAATAAAAGATTTTTATCTCCCTGGAAATGTTCCTAGGCATGAGTTATACTATTTAAACACTCTTTACTTGCTGCTAATATAAAAAAAACTGAGAGGAAAGAGATTTTTTTAAAAGCTGAGGGGACTTTTTGAATATAAAGCCAAATTGTCCCTGCTGAGAGGAGCTCTGTAAATATCTGGGAGATGAAGCAGCAGCACCGGCCATGGGGTGAGCAGAAGAACCAAATAATTCATCAGGTGCTGCTGCAAAGCAACAACTTCCATAATTCAGCAGGGCAGCAAGCAACAAACTCCTGGAAGAGGAGCTGGATGGCCCAAAAGCAATTTGAAGGAGACTAAAAAAAAACAAGGTTATGTGTTATTCCAGTTTATTTCTGCTGTTGGTGAGGAACATGGCCCTAAAACCAGGCCACCCTTTAGTGCTCTGGCACAACCAGTCATGTCCTCACAGCTTTCCTGGCCTGGGATTCCTTCACAATAGTAAATTCAACATTCCTTCTCCGAAAGAAAAAATATTTTATTAATGTTCAACTCTCTAATCATAATGAAGGAGCAGAGAGTCATAATTCAGTCATTAGCAGCTTTTAGGAGTCTATATTATGTTCTAGAATATATAGTATTAATACTATTAGAAATGTGGAACTTCATTTTCCCCCACATTTTCTGTATGTTATAAAGAAAAAAAATGAGAAATTACATGAAAGATGTTAAGCAAAAAAATAAAATAAATAAAATGAAATTAGGGTATGGGGTCTGTTTGTACCATAACAGAAGGTGCTGAAGCACCAAATGTGCTGCTGCCCTTTCTGAGGTGCTGGCCCCGCCACGGACCTCGTCAGCACTAAACCACACCTGGGAATAGAAACCTGGAGCCCTGGGAGCAGAAAGGATGAACCAGTGGCTCGTGGAGAAAACCAAAATACTGTGTGGGATCAGCAAGAGCTGTACCACTCCACACACACAGCAGGGTTGTCCTCTGGTGGTGTGGGGCATCCTGTAGGAAATACAACTGTTGGGCAGCAGGATGGTTTTCTTAGCCACTGGGAATTTGTGACCCTTCCCAAATACCTTACAGCAGCCCCTGGGCAGTCAGGACTCTGCATATGGAAATGACTGGCCAACAACCACATGGAAACCTTAATAAAGAGAGCACAGGAGCAGCAAGCCTGCAGAGGTTCAGGTCTGCTACCAACTTTATGATTTCTTTCTGCTCACTGCCTGAAAAAGCTGGATGCAATGGAGCACCACTCTGAGTTTATCCTTTCATATATGAAATCTCTCCACAGCTGCCCACTCAATCACGAGGCAAGAAAACAACAGGTACATTCAACTTTAATGAAATAATCATCAGTTATATGTACAGCAATAACTGAGGGGGAAAAAAACCAGCTACAGAAAAGATGCAAACACAACCCTGGACATGGAGCCACAGTCGCAGGGTCCAGCTGGACCAAAACATTTCTGCCATTCTTCTACTTTTGAAGATGCTTTGTATCTAAAAGGCAATACAGAAATACATGAAATCCTCCCAGAACTGTTTAGTGGGCTGACAGGAGATGACAGCCAGGCCCTGCAGTGTCATTTTGCACTTCTTTACTGGAGCCCAGATATCTTTCTCTGCTGCCAACACCAGCAGGGCCCCAGAGAGATGCTGCAGCCCTTGTCCATGACCTGTCATGGTGCCCAGCAATCCTGTGCAATCCCATAAGTGAGCTCCAGGATCAGCATGGCTCTTCTTGGGGGGCTGCAGTAGCTCCAAAGGTACATAAAAGTCCTTTAAAAGTCCCTTTCAAAACTATGGCAAAATACCTAGAATGGCCAGTATGAAGCACAAAGCCATTAACATTGTACACACTGAATCATTGATATCTGATAACTTATTAAATTAACGCACAGAAAAAGACAACCCTTTATTTTAACCCCCTCTGGTTTTTCTTCAGATTCACTTGCACAGGAACAAGCTGTGGCAGTCACTGCTCCCAGTCCTCTCATAACAATGGGGATGCTTTATCAAAGTTTAAAATGTGGTTGTGCACCAGGTAGTAGGAAAGTTTACAGCCCTTGTATTTTAACAAGAATCCAAATCCTAGGCTGGGAAGGGAAATCTCAGCGCACCGCCTATGGTCAGTGAGCAATTGCCAAGCCAGGCTGCTATTTCTGTAATGGCTGAGAAACACACAGGAGAATTTTCTCAGAAGAGCAGGCTGACTTGCACGCAGCTGTACACAAATCCCAGCCATGCAGATGTCATCTCAAATCATTAAAAGGCTCCTTTTTCCTGGAGAGCTGGTAGTTAGAGGCGATGCTTGCACACACACGCCACACTGGTGCAAACCCCCTCAGAGCTGGACAGTTTTGATGGCCATTAGCCTGTCTGGGCATTTTATGGCCATATCTCCAGGTCCTCATGTCTAGATATTTTTTTCCCTGAGGACTTTGGTAAGATCACTCCAACGTTTCCCTGCACGTTCCAGACCAAGCTACATGGTGTGTCGGAGCCAGCTGGTGCCCGGCAGCAGCAAGTCGGACGTAATGCACCTTTCCCAAGGGATGCTCAGGCTTGCTGAAGTCAGGCAGGTTTTCCAGCAAGGGGGGGAAAGGTGTGGGACAGGCTGCTGCCAGCACTTGGGGACGCTCACACCAAATCTCCTCCCTACTCCAAGGAATTCCAGCGCCGGCAGCACATGGCAGCTACCCAAACTGTGTCAACCGCGGGAACCGCTGACTGCTAACACACATGCAGCTCACTGCTATTTATATCACATGCCACGTATAAAAATATGCTACATCCGAGGAGAGCTTCACCCTGGCATCATGATTTGGATGGAGGAAGGCGAAGGACAGAGAGGGGCTGCCCGCAGAGGGAATTCTCCTGCCCAGCCCATGCTGCCGATGCCACCGGGAATTTTGCCCATCGAGCTCAATGGTGCAAGAACGGGCCCCCGGCAAACGAAACGCTGTCGTTTTCTTGGCATTTGTACAGCCCAGGGTCAGCAAAGTGAGCAGCTGATGCTGGGCTTTAACGTGTCTGGAAACGCACAGGCAGCTTGTGACAGGGGAAGAGGCCAAATGGAAAAATGCTGCTTGTTGCAACCAGCCGGCTCCATGGGATGTGACTGTGGGGGTGACCACTGCTTCTGGCATCTGTGTGTAGCCAGTACCTGTTTGCAAATACTAAACACAGGCCTGAGCCTGTCTGGCACTGATGTCTTCATGTTAGCAACTCAGTCACTTCACCCTCCCTCATCTGCACCAAACACCAGGGCAAACTTCCAGCCATGTCCCAGATCCAGCCCAGCAGCAGGTGGGGTGCTTGCTACCTCTCCGGACCTTTTCACTAAATGCATGGTACATACAGATCTACAGCATGGGCACCAGGGAAACCTGGTTGAGGATGACAGCAGAAATGTAACCTTGACATAAAGATGCCAATTAAATGAAAATGCAGACACTGCAACACCTTTCTTTCCCCACAGCTGCAGTCAATGGCACTGCCTGAAGCCCCAGGGGACAGGCTGTAGGTAGCAGGGTCTGCCCCACACCCCAGGATCTGTTTCACAGAGGTACACAACTGAACGGGCATGCAGAATTAACTACATCTCGGCCCTGGGAGCCCCTCAAGCTCTCCCCACCCAGGCCAAATGCAAGTTTTAAATCACCCCTTGTACTCTTTTATTTCAGGGGCATGGCTGCCATCACAGGAAACTGTTGTGTTTGTTCTGTTCCAGGGCCATTTCATTGACCAGCTGCTCTATGGATGACTGGATGGCCGCCTTCACGAGGGAAGATGCCGTTTCTATGAGGAGCAGCTCGTACTGCTCCCCAGTTCTTTGCCCCTGGTCACCTGGACCTTTCTCCTCCACCTGAGGACCACCGCCAGCCACGGGGCCCTCTTTTTTACCAAAATCAAAGCCCCCACTTGACTTTTTATTCCCTTTTTGCTTATTTCGCTGCAAGACCGGGGACGGCTCGTAGGCCTGGTCGGAGTCGCTGTGATCAGAGTCCTCAGCTTCGGTGACAGTGATGACAATGCCAATGCCCACGTTGGCTTGTAGTGTCACCTGATGGCTGGAGCAGCCTTGCACACTCACTGCATCATCTTTGGACTCCGACTGACTGAAATCCATTACAGTCTCTTGGGCTTTGCACTCCTCAGGAAGACTTATGCTCTTTTCTGATTCATCCCCTTCAGGCAGCTCTTTGCAGATATTAGGGATTTCCTGCAGCTCGGTGGTTTCAGGGGCACTGTCGGGTTGATCCTGGGAAGCAGGTGCTTCGGGAGCATCTTCCCTGCCCTCCGTGTGGACTGTGGTTTGGGGCAGGCTCCCCTCCTGCAGCTTTTCCTGGGCTGTTTCATTAACTGTCTCTGACTCTGTTATCTCTGACTCCGTGGTGCACTCCATATGTTCCTCTGCTTCAGTTGTGGGCTCTGTCAAGGGCTCACTCTTCCCAGTGGAATCAGCAGTTTCCTTTGCTGTATCCTGGTCCTCCTGCACAGAGGCTGGGCTGAAGGAGTCAGACTTGTCCATCGGGGCCAGATCCTCCTGTTCTTCACTAGCTTTATTCACGATGCCCATCACCTCGTTTGCTTGAACACTGTCCTCTGACTCCTCCACTGCTTCAGAGGGGCTGGGTTTTTTCTTGCCTCTGGAGAACCGCACGCAGGGCATCTTCACTCCAGAGCTCACTCGTTTTTTTGGGAAACCTTGTGCACAGCCTTCCTCAGCACCCACCTCCAGCTGCACTTGGGAATCAGAGGGTGCCTTCTGCCTCGAGGAGGATTTCTGCCTTCTCCGAGGTTTTGCGAAGTTTTTGATGGCTGCCCAGGCTCCTCTGGAGGGTTGTGATTGATTAGGAACTTTCGCCTCAGCACTGATGCATTGGCTTTTCTCCTCTGAAGCTCCTTCACCTGCATCCTTCACAGTCAGCCCCTTCTTACAGGACTTCTTCCTCTTCTTAAAACAGAGCATGGAGGGTTTTTCTGCCTGTTCCTCTGATGCGGAGCACGTTGCCCCTGTGCTGTGAGTCTCTACCTCTCTTGGGTTCTCCATTTGAATTTCCTTAGCTGCCTTTGCCATATTTGTTCCTCTCCTTCGTCTGTGTTATATTATTGATTTTCTGGATTAATATATCAGACACAAGAACTGCAGAGATGCTAAAAGTGCATTTTCTCCTCAAATTGTTTTCAAAATAACATTAGTTGCCGCTTAATGAGCATCTGTGTCAGCCAAGAGAAGTTCTGCTGAAGCTATTGCATCTGCTTTATAACTCCCACTTTGTGTCATTACTCACTTTATCACCACTCCAAGGAATCCCGGGTAGACATGAAGTTGAACAAGCTTCTCCTTGGCTTTGCTGGCCAGAGTCACCTCCAGGACAACCCACTTCAAGTTGTGCTCAGTCTATCAACACGAGTATTTAATCACCAGTCTGATATTACTCTCTTTTGTGTGTGTTTTGGGGTTTTTTTCCCCCCGAAAGGACGACAAATCAAGGCAAGAGTTAACAATTTTTATTCACCCCACGGACCTGGAAAGAACTGCACTTCCACATTGCACAGGGAGCTTGATTGAAGCACCAGGAAAACCAGCGGCAGCCAGTGGCTGTTTTCTGCCCCCCAGTGACAAGGTCAGATGCTGCTTTGTCTCAGCTCTGCTTTCTGCTTCAGTTCCTCTCGCAGGTTGAGTGAAGCGTGGCCAAGGTTTCCATCTTTTACCTGTAACACAACAAACAAATGCTAAGAACAACAACAAGTATTAAAAAGTATATATTTTTTAAGAATTTCGTGCTGAGAGGCAGAGCTGGGCTGGAAAAGCAGTCCTGCCTCAGGATGCACCATAGCTGGTTTTTGCCACTAATTAGCACCATATATCCAAAGGTAAAATAAGGCCACCAAGATATTAACCCAGTGATGTTCAACCACTATTTTGCTATTTCGTGTGATAAAGGGGATTTTTAAAATTGCCCCTATAATGGCAAATACACATTACACATGCACACGCCTGTATTTTCTTCTCCTACAGTGGGCTGAATCTTCCTCTCCATATGCACTCACAGCTCCAGCTAGGGAATTACACCCCGAGACAGCAGATATTTTTATCTTTAATGCACCATATGACAACACGCATAAACACAAGAATACAAAAAAAGGAGGCTCGTGGAATACAAAAGTGAAATCCCATGGCCAGAAGGGAGCTGATTTACACTACGTGTATGCAGCCTCAATTAACACCGCCTGTGCTCATCAAATGTAGGATCTTGTGAGATGTATGGCACCCTTGAAAAAAAGGAGGAAAAAAAAATAGAGAGAAGAGGAAGAAAAAAATAAAGTGCTGCCTCAAAACATCCTCCGAAGGGTTCGGGATAGAAAGGCGCAAAAATGTGTCACTGCGAACAGACCAACTTCTCCGGGACCGGCTCAGTGACTCCGGGCAACCCTTCCACACAGTATTTCGCGCTCGGCTTTTAAGTAGGAAGATGATGAAAACGGGGGCGCCGCCGGGGAGCGCTGGCCGTGTGTGTGTGTGTGGGGGGGTTACTGATGAAAAATCCTCCCAGCGCAGGGATGTGCGTGTGAGAGCGGCCCGCACGCAGCCGCT